TCCATTCGGCCAGTCTGTGTCTCTTGATTGGGGAATTTAATCCGTTCACATTCAGTGTTATTATCCATGTAACTGGATCTGTCCTGACGTTTATGGTGGCCATTGTCACAGCAGCCTTTTATTCCTTTGTTTCTGTCTGTTAGCTCTTTAGTTTTCCTGGAATAGTACTTTCTTCAGGGTTTCTTGAAGAGCTGGTCTGCTGCTGGCAAATTCTTTCAGGTCTTGTTTGTCTTCAAACTGCTTGCCATAGATAGACGCACCGCCTGGACCTGTCCCTGTTGGACTACCTCCCTGGATCATGAAGTCCTTGATGATTCTGTGGAGTTTGGTGCCATTGTAGTAACTTCGATGAGCCAACTCAGCGAAGTTCTTACAGGTCTTTGGAGCGTGCTTCTGGTACTGCTCCAGCACAATGATCCCCATGCCGGTCTCCAGGTAAACGTTGGGAGGCTGCAAGAGTCCGGGGGAATTGCCGCCATTGGGAAAGTAGCAGAATCCTCCAGAAATCTCTACTTCCGGTGTCGGTTCCCTGTGGACCTGCTGCTGCTGCGCACACTTCCAGTCCCCTTCAATCCTTTCGACGCCAGGATTATGGGTCTGAGACAAGCAAGATGAGGGACTTTTCTTCCAAGGTGGGGAACGGAGATGCAAGGGGAGAAGAGGCTGGGCCCAAGCTTTTTTTTTCTTTTTTTTTGAGAATTTTTTTTGCTATAGAGGGCCTGTGCTCGCCAGACAGACAGAGAGAGACAGAGAGACAGAAAGCGAGAAATCACCCCCCAGGATGGATGGCCACGCTGCAATCCCTTCTCCTCCATTCCCCTCTCAGGATCTTGGGCACGCACACACACGCACTCGGCGTGAGTTTTAAGCCACCAGGTACGGGACTCGAACCGCAGTGGACTATGTGGGAGTCCAGCGACATAGCCATTACGCTAACTGCTGTTCCCTAGGTGTTATGTTTTTAAAAGGCCCTCTCAGTTTTTAGATGGAGAGTTTGATGCCGTAATCACAACTTTCTGCAAATGCCTCATTGACATGCTTAAGCATGCATTCTAAGGTACTTTTATTGATTTTTTTTTTTTGGAGAAGTTTTTGCCTATAGGGCACGTGCGCTCACCAGAGAGACAGAAAGACAGAAAGTGAGAAATCACCCTCCAGGAGTGATGGCCACACCGCAATCTCTTCTCCTTCATTCTCCTCTTGGTATCTTGGGCACACACGCACACATGCCTGGCATGAGTTTAAACCACCCGTTCCAGGACTCTAACCATGGTCGGCTACATGGATGTTCAGCGACATAGCCATTACTCTAACTGCTGGTCCCCCACATTCTAAGGGACTTTAAAGGAGCTATTCTACCCTTCCACGTTCTAAAAAGGCAAGTATGCTCTTTGGTCAGGATGTACCCTAGGACATTGCGGGACCTTCTTGTCTCTACCCATACCTCCTATGGTCACCTCCTAAGGCAATTTTCAGCAATAGTACTGTGACTGTAGGGATCATCAGTTCTTGAAGAACCCTTTGATCAATAATCCATTGCTCGATATCCTCAACTGAGGAGAAGGAGGGATATAACCAAGTAATGTTTTCCAAGATGGTGAATAGGAAATAATTAAAATGGCAGAAGAAACAAACAAAAAAAACATACAAAAATCCTGATACCCAGGGACTCAAACCATGATTTCCCAGGGACTCAAACCCTGTCTTTCCAGGGACTCAAACCCTTTCAGGAACTCATTCATGCCCTGTAGCTGTAGCTATGGGACCACAAACACGGTTACACAGTAATTTGCTCATCATGCACACAAGAGGCTATTCCCTCCCACCAATCCAACAGAGTATTTCCTCCCACCAATCCAAGAGAGTATAGAGAAAATAAGTACAACAACAGTAAAAGCAGAAGAAATTCATCTTAAAAAGACCCTGAAACTTCCAGGGACTCAAACCCTGTCAGGGACTCTAACCCTGATTTCCCAGAAACTCTCTAAGGGCCAGTGGGGGTGGGGGGACTCGAACCCCTTACCATCTAGCCCCTGGTTTCTAGCATGTCTGGTAGAACCTAAGTAGGGCTTCTATAAACCATGTCCTATCAGCCCTGAATCGAGCCTCCTGCAGAGGAACTCAGACTGTCAACCCAGGGATTTAATTCCTGTCAGGGACTTTAAATCTGATTTTGTAGGTTGGACTTTCAGGGGGCCTTCCAGGGATTCAAACCCTGTCAGGGACTCTAGCCCTGATCCCTTGCCAATACCGTACTCAACAATTTGTCTCTCAAGAAGCAGGACAGAAACACCCAAAGAGATGCCTCCAGAGGTCCTGAAGGCTTACACAAAAACTCCACATCCTCTTTGAAGGAGCAGTCAGGATCCCTTGTCAGCTGTCAACAATCCCAAAAGGTGGCTCTGGGGACCCCAGGAAATCTCAGACGTGCCTCCCCTAAAGCACTCTCTGGTAGTTGGCAGCTCAACAAGTGAGGCTGCTCTCCCTAGGATGCCTCACTCACGTACTGGGTAGGTACAGATCTTGCTGATGCCTTCAAATATTACAGTCTACTCAGCGAGAAATAAGAGGACATTCAGACACAGCCAAATTTATTGGAGTTTATTGAGCGGGGTGTTGACTTGGCAATCACAAGAACAGAGAGCTGTGGGCTGAAAAGTGTAGGTGGTAGAGTTTTAAAATGTAAAAGCAAGCAAAAGCACATCATAGAGGCAGAACAAACAGGTAAGCAGGTTCATCATCCCTTAAGGGTATGTTCCATCCCTACCTAAACACATGGACTCTTAATGGTTTTCATGGCTCAGAGCAATGTCCAGTGACTGGACCTTATCTTAAGGCATCTATCTTAGTAAGAGAAAGCAACTTTTTAATCAAAGGGAAACAGCTATAAGAGTTCATAATGGAGGCACTCCTCCAAGTCGCTCCTGCTTCATTTCCCACTTCTCTTGGAGGCACCCCTGCAAGATGCAGTTGTGCTTGCGTCATTTGGAGATTTTCCTCTGATTTTTCTGCTATTGATTTCTAGTATGACCATATTGTGTTCAGGGAATATATTCTGTGATTTAGGTTGTTTTGAATTTGTTGATATGTTTCATATCCCAATTTATGCCATACTTTGGTAAATTCTCTGTAAATGCTGAAATATGTACACTGATGCTTTGGTTGATGGGTGCTATAAATTGATTAGCTGGTTAGTTCCTGTTGGTAGTCGGTGTTGCTGAGTCCACAGAAGCACCAGGAAAAAAACCCTGGGCGATTAGGAGTAACGGGCTCTGTGGCCTGGTTTAGTCCTATGCTGGGGTCCAGCCTCAGCGTGGGTGGGTTATCTCGACGGAGGTGGCGAAGGTGAACAGAAGACAGAGGCCTCGATGCCTTTTCATGCACATCCTATGCTGGACACCCCTCAAAGATCGCTCTCTGAGGAATGACAACTGCTAGGAATCATCGTGCCTTTTCATTGAAAATGTGATACATGCAAGTAAATGGGTGAGGGGCAGTAAAAGATTTACTCTAAGGAACAGGGTATACAAAGCATGGAAGCAATAATTATAAAACATGCTGTTTGTCTTGTTAGCTCAGGTAAAATCAATCACAGTTCTCAGGATGAGGAAGTCCATTTGTCTGCTGTATCTTCTTCTTAGATCTTGATTACTGGGAAGAGTCTTATGAAGAGGGGGCTTGCAGGATGTTTGATAACTTCAGTCCCGGACCAGGGCGATAACGTTGCTGGTTACAACGACCTAGATGGAAATCTTGTCTTGCTAAGTAAAGACACAGTTAACATATGGACTATCTATACATTACAACAATAGAGGTTGAGTCTATGATCTTATATGGGAAAGGAAGATGATCTTGTAGCTCAGGAGACAACACAGGATGTTTTATTAGCAGTTTTTCATAGTCAACAGCACATGGATGAGAAACTCTTTGTAGTTGAAAGCTACCTGTTGCTTTAGATAAGAGCTCCCAGCTAAAATGGTTAATCTTTCTGTCGAGCCCTCAGCTTTATTTATTCTGTTGTCCCATCCAGGCTTTTTCCTCTAATAAATCTGTGGGTTCCTGCATTTTGTTTGTTGAGTCTGTCAATTAGTGAGCTCTTTTGTTTTATCTCTGAGTCTCTGTTATGTGGTGAATGTGCTGACTTTGCTAGTGTGAGTTAACTTGGGCCTGTAGCTTTAACAAGGGCTAGCCTTAAACTAACTTAGTCTACATATGCTTCTAATGCTAATTTGGTTTATACTAACTTAATCCATATGTTAATTTTGGTTTAATAACAGACTGGTGGGGGAGTCTTAAACTTCCTGGTCCTCGGTCAGTTTTAGGGAACCACATTCCTATAAGATCACTAATTGGCTTTATTGCAATGGTTGGGGGTGATGTTTTACCCTTGCAGGGTACCGTAATAACAGTAAAACTCACGGAAGAGAAACTGAATACCGGCCAGTACAAGGACACAAGGGAGAGCTCATACACTGGGCCTTGACTCAGTTTCTTCCCAGTCCAGGCCTTGCTTTAGAATGGGAGGCAGCATCCTTACCAGCTTGTGTTGCCTGCAGCATCCTTACCAGCTTGTGTTGCCTGCATGGCCCCGTCAGTCCTAGGTTTATATCCATGCTTGTGCTCTCAACTCAGAATGACTCTTGGGGCCTTAGTCCTTACGTCGCTTCAACATGGCCGCCCCCATATTTGTGTGGGCGCCGCCATATTGGGGCCAACACTACAATCAAACGGGAGGGGATAGCACAGCGCCATATTGAGTACTGGCAAGCTTCGCTGAGAACCCGCAGATGTGCAGCAGATGTGCGGGCATACCCTGGCTGCGCCGTAAGGAGTCCCGTAGCTACAGGGAGGGAGTGAGGAAAAAAAATCTCCACCCCTTTCTCAGAAGAACCCAAAATGGCCCAGTCCCTGGAGTAAGAGAGACAGAGAAGATCAAAGAGGGAGAGGGAAAGCAAGCCGAACATGGTATTGACACTGCATTCCACCCCGGAAAAAAAGTGGGTTCCATTTTGGTTCTCATGGGTGTAGTCACCGCCCGAGGCATGTGGCCACTGCCCTGCAAGAGCGCGGGGGAGATAGGTGGTGGGCGAGTCTGGGGACTGAGTGAGGAAGGGTCCGTGATGTTCGCGGTGAGCCGCCCTGGCTCGGTGGCTGGAGGAACGCTGGTCCAGGTGATCCTTGACTTGACTCTGCGGGTGGGAGGGCGACCGTGGTCTGAGGGGAGCCATGGGGACCACCGAGACCAGGGCCTGCAGGGTGAGTGGGCTCGCCTTCCCCCTTTGTGCTCGCGTCTGTTTGCATTTCCGCTTCCCATGGATCGGTCCTGCCTCTTTTTCCCAGGGGTTTGAGAAATACCTTGTCTTGGATTTGGTTGTAGGTTTCCGTTTACGTTATTTTATTCCCCTCGCTATTCCTATCAGTAGCTCCTTGTTATTTCTATTATTTTATTTATTCTTCCTTTCTTTTTAAATTGGGCGTGTCGAGGGTTTATTTTATTGAGCATTTTGAAACACTGGCTCTTGGTTTTGTTCATATTCCCTACTCTTTTTATATTATTTTTTTCTCGTTAACTTTTTAGGTACTTTTCTCCTGTCCTCTCTCCTTTTGATGTAACTTATTGTTCTTAGGTTTTATATTGACCACATTTATGGTTGTAAACTTCCTCTAACTACATCGCTGTGAAATGTGTCAATTCAGTTTGATGGTTTCCTTTGATCCTGAGCTGTTTATGAGAGTTTCTTCATTCCCAAATTATTCGGATGTATTCTAATTGCTTATTCGTAACATTATTGTAGTCATATGCAATTATTTTTAACTTTATTGTATTTTAAATTTTATTGTATGTCACATTTCAAGTGTAAACTTTTAAAATTACCAAGAGTTTTTTTGAAGCCAAGTTACACGATAAAATTTTGTTCAATGCATATAAGAGAGAGAGTGTATTCTGTTTGTGGTGCAAACTTGTTGTTAGGTATGTTAAATCTAGCTTGTTTGATTTTTCAAAGCTTTATGGTAACTGATTTGGGTCTACTGGATTTATTATATTCTGGAAGAGATCCAATAAAACTCTTGCTTTAACAGTTTACTTTGTAGTTCTATGTCCTTCTTTGTTAGTTTTACTAGGCGGAAGGGCATTGTAACCTGATGGTAATACATTGTATATCATTTTTCCTTTATTGGATTCTATTATTATGGGATTCTGTTTTGCAGCAGAATATTTAACCTTGAATTCCACTTTGATATTTATATTGCCATCCCCACTTTTACTTTCATTGCATTTGGATGATGTATCTTTGCCCAGAGCTTTATTTTATAGTCCTATGTGTCTCTATTTTAGATGACCTACTTATGAACAATAGTTGCCTTTTATGTTTTTCAAATCCAACCTTTGGTCTCTGTTGATAGGAGAATTTTACCCCTTCAGTTTAGTAATGATTTATCTAGGTTTTATACCTTTCATTTTATGCTTATTTATTTTAATTCTAGTCTCATTTTCTGCTTTTCATTTCTCTTTTCATACATTCATTGGATAGGTGAAATTTCTGTTGTATGCTTTCTATACCTTATATGACTTCTATTTTTTCCTGAGATAATTAGGAATTTTTGTATGTGTGTGTGTGTGTGTGTGTGTGTGTGTGTGTGTGTATGTGGAGTCTTTGCTATAGGGCACATGTGCTCACCAGAAAGGCACAGAGAGACAGAGAGACTGAAAGCAATTACACAGCCATTACACCAACTGTTGGTCCCAATTAGAAATGTTTTGTCATAGGATATTACTAATTTTGTCTTTAATGGCCTTATCACTCATCACATTGTCCTTTTTTTATAATGATATATCTGTTGCAATAATTATTCCCAAACAGTATTTTCGTTTTCAAGATTTCTCTTTATGTTTATTTCAAACACTTTTCGGGTATTTTCTTCAGATTAACATAGAGATACTCTTTATGATTTCATTTCTGTAAAGATCTCTCCCTGGCCCTAACAGTAATGGCCTTTTAGATGCTATTTCTAATATTATTTAATTTTTAATTACTGTAGTGAGTAGTTTTGAGTTTTTTCTTCTCTGTAAATAATCTGTGCTTTCACATGTGCTTTATTTAGATTTAGAAGTGTTTTCCTTGACATTCAAAAATTTTCCATATTTGTTCATTGTTGGGTTCCTGTGTGTGTGTGTGTGTGTGTGTGTGTGTGTGTGTGTAGAGAGAGGTTTTGGGAAATGCAGATGGCACAGATGTTGTCAGTGGTAGGAGGAATGTCTAGGTGCTTTCTAAGGACCTGTTACAGGTGGAAATGTGTCTGTGGTTGGGACTCTTGGATTGGTTAATGGAGATGAATGATGTGTAGTAATGTGTGGAGTTCAGTAATGGGGACATGGGCATTGACAGATGGAAAGGTAGAATCATTAGGATGGTGGGGACCATTGGAGGCTTTGCAATTAAGGATGGGTGATTGATTTGGGATCTGTGGGCAACAGGATATGGAAATCAGTGATTCTGAAGCTTAAATAATGGCTTCTGAGGGTGAGCCACTATGCAGTGATGGATAGTTGGACCCAAATGAGAAGTGAGGGTAAGAAAGTTGATATGTTGGGGCCTACCTATGAAGTCAGATGGTATCTTTATTTTATTCTGAGTGGATTACCAATTTTGTAACAATAGCAACAGTTAATGGTCAGGGTACTTTTAAAGTATTATACAAATTTTGTTTATCCAAAAATTATAAACATGAGAATACTGAGATGGAAATAAATTATTCAGGTTCTCACAGCTAGATGGTGGCAGAGGTAGATGCAAAGGCATACTAATTTTACTCTACACGTCACAACCATTCCCCTATGTATCCACTGCTGCACACTGCTGGATACAGCGGTCTATACCTGAGTCTGTTTGCTCTCAGGAGGACTACTGAGTGGCCCTCTCCTTGCGGCACTGCTAGCACATAGCCCCTTTGGGTTTCCACAGAGCTCTGAGGTCAGATCGCTTCACTGGGCCTTCTAGTTCCTTGTTCAGACTCCAGGCCACCTCTGCCCAATTGTGCCAGTGATCTCTGAATGTTATATCAGATTTAGACTCATGGGAAGATTGCAGTTCTAAGATACATAGTGGTGAGGGCCAGTAAAAACATCCAGCTAAGGAGAGCTTGTTCCAGAGGCCATAGATCCTGGCTTAAGAGGGGTGACAATTCCTATGGGAGGGAAAGGAGAGTTCTAGAAGCAGGCATTTCCTCAGGAAACATGATCCATTTGCTGATGTGAACAGTGCATGGCTTTTGTCATTCAACCCTGAGGTTCTATTCAGTAGAGAGATTTAAAACAAAAGAATTTTATTCTAGAAATTTCTTTTTTTTTTTTGGAAAGGTTTTTGCTATAGGGCACATGTGCTCACCAGAAAGACAGAGAGATAGAAAGTGAAAAATCACCCCCCCGGGGGGATGGCCATGCCACACTCCCATCTCTTCCATTCTTCTCTCAGGATCTCAGGCACACACACACACACACACACACACACACACACACACGGCGTGAATTTAAGCCACCAAGTCCAGGACTAGAACCGCGGTCCAGTGACGTAGCCATTACACCAACTGCTGGTCCCTATTCTAGAAATTTCTAAACACATGGAAAAGTAGAGAGAATGATGTAATGAACTCCCAGATCATCTTATCACACAGTCTCAACAACTCTCAGCATTTGCCAGTGTTGGTTCTATTCATTCCCATTTATTTTGTTTCAGCCAGAATATTTTTAAAATTCCAAATGTCATTTTACCCACAAATCCACTAGTATACAGATCCGCCTGATGCGAACTTTAAAAAATATTTTTTCTTTATTTTTTTGTTTTGCATTATCACCATACCGTTATCTACCTAACAAAAGTTACAGGAATTCATTTGATAATCTATAGACAAATTCCCTTATTATAAAAACAAACAAACAAACAAAAAAACTACTTTCTAAACTTTTCACTGTGAAAATTCCAAACATACAAAAGTAGAGCAAGTATTGTAATGAAATCCCATATATCCAGCAACAAACTTACACAATTTTTAACTCATTGCATTCTGTGTCATCTGATAGCTCTCCTTCCTTCACATCATCTCCTTCTGGTGGATTATTGTGAAACAAATTGCAAACATTGTGTCATTTCATCTGTAAATATTTCAATATATAAATTTAAAGATAAGATTTTTTTTTTAATAAAAAATAGCCATAGTACTCTTACCATATTTTTAAAAAGTTTTGAAAGAGGGCACATATTCTCAGAGGGGGAGAGAGAAGGCAACCCACCAATGGGGTGTGGTCATACTGCAATCCATTCTCCTCCATTTCTCTGTCCTTTAGGGTTTGGGGTATTCACTCACACGTGCTCCTTGGCTGGTCTGGGACTCAAACCATGTGGTTGGCGATGTGGGATCCAGCTCCCTTAGCCACTAGGCCACAGAGCTGGTCCTACAATATGTTTTAAAATACCTTTTCATATGCATTGGATTGGTAGGTAGTATTACAATTTTAGATACATTAAATTTAGCAGGGCTTATTTGAGCAAAGAATCAACCCTGAATTGGGCAACACTCAGCAGGGGAAGGGGTTCGGAAAGCTCTGCCCAGCAGAATGGGCAGTGAGCCTCTTCAGAGACTAAGTAGGGAAATCACCTGCTTGGCTGCAGCTAGGCACCTGCCTTATTTGGGCTTGGTGTGATGGGTTGGCTGCCTGTGATTGGCTGAAACTCAGCTAATTATTATACTCTTAAGTTAAGTTTTGGTTATTTAATATTAAGTTAGGTTGCGGGACCAGAAGTTGGTATAATGGTTACGTCACCGGACTCCCACGTAATCGACCGCAGTTCAAGTCCCAGACTCAGTGGCTTAAACTCACGGTGCATGTGTGTGTGCCCAAGATCCTGAGAGGAGAATGGAGGAGAAGGGATTGTGGCATGGCCATTCCCCCTGGGGGGTGATTTCTTGCTTTCTCTCTGTGTCTCTTTGTGCCTTTCCAGTGAGTGCATGTGCCCTATAGTAAAAACCTCTCAAAAAAAAATTAAGTTAGGTTTCAGTTTTCTATTTAGAGACTTAAGTCAGGAGGCAGTCCAAGTCCAAATTTAAGTTTTTAATTTAACAGATTTATTGTAGAAACCTGACCCCATTAAGGTGCCTTTTTTGTTTTTTGGCAAAACTGTTTCCTAGATGATATTTTCTGTTTTCATCAGGACACATCAGTTCATTAGTCTGTGGTGTGAGCAACTGTTGGTGACTGCTTCATGGATCCATTATTTTATTAGGGGTGTGATATAGACATATTGCATTTCTACCATCCTTTAACTAAATAATTACATAAAGAGAAGCTCCTTCATCAAGAATTTCAGTTTTATAGGAAAGGTAGCAAAAATATTTTTTTCTTCTTTTTCTTTTTTTCTTAAATTTATTTTTATTCACAATATGTAGCATATGGGCATACATAAGGGAGAGGAAGAGAGAGAATGAGAGAGCAGGAAAGGGAAATAAAACTACCCTCAACAGGGTCTCATCATATCCTCATCCTTTTTCTTACTCTCTAGGCACCAGGATCTTGGGCATTCATGTACTCACTTGGAATGTTTTCAGGCCTACTTGGGGATGCAAATCTGGGTTGGCCATGTTACTTTCAACTTTGCAATTCTATATGTCACCAACTTCACCAATAATCTGGGCTGTGCTCTTTTTCTTTATTTACAAATATCAAAATAATTTGATTTCCTAATATTTTCCATAAATGTTCCTTATCTTGGTCTGGGTGGCAGATGGACAGATGTGGAAAGTGTGAAAGATGAATCAAACTATATACCTATTATTTTATTTAATTTTTAAGCATTTATTTATTTTTATATTTGCTATGAATTTTCAGCTGGGTCTGGGATTATGGTCAGCCATGTGGTATGATCAGCTATGTGGGAGTCCAGCACTTCAACCATCATGTCACCTGCTGACCACAGTACCTAATATTTTATAGTTTACATGTTATTCTAAAAATTAAAAAAGAAGTAATATAATTTTACCTATATTAGAAAAGCATATTTAATAGTAATTTTTCTGATATAAAAGTTTGAATATAAAATACATTTTAAAAGTCAATTATTAAAAAACTCTGGAGACTGGAGCTAGGGTAAAGGGGACACAGTGGTCAACATGTAAGTGAACCTTGATTGGAACCTGCTTTCAAACAAAAGAGGGAAAGAAAAGATGTGTTTGGGATAATTTGAATGTGAAATGAATATTCAAATTATTTATAATATATGATCTATAATTGCTCTTTTTAGTTTTGCCAAAATTGTGTGTGTGTGTTCACCAGAGACAAATAGAGAGAGAGGGAGGGGGGAAAACACTGCAGTCCCCTCTCCTCCATCTTTTCATCATGTCAGGATTTTGGTAACACATATGTGCACACCTGGTGGGTTTTCAAGCTGCCAGGACTGGGACTTCAACTGTGCAGTAGGCTGTGGGGATTCTCCTTTCCTAAATACTGGACCACAGAGCTTACCTTATGATTACTATTAATTTTATTAGGCATGGTGGTCATCTAGGTGATTTATATTATGATTTAAACCAAAGTATCATGACATCTGCACCTTTCAAATGGTTCAGCAAACAAAACAAAACAAATGTATAAATATAAGAAAGGTGGAATTTTACCTCTACTATCTTAGTGCTTTAATAGCTGGACCAGAGAGTTAATTTGATGGGTAGAAAAGCATACAAATTTAATATAAATTTTGCCTGACACAGAAATGAAGACCCAAAGATGCAGCAAGAAACTTAAACACTTTTGGGACCAGCAGATGGTGTAATGGTTACATCACTGGACTCCCACACAGTTGACTGTGGTTCGAGTCTCAGACCTGGCAGCTTAAAACTCATGCTGGGTGCATGTGTGCCCAAAATCTCAAGAGGAGAATGGAGAAGAAGGGATTGTGGCATGGCCATCCCCCTCAGGTTGCTGATTTTTTGCTTTCCTGTCTCTTTGGCAAGAACATGTGCCCTATAGCAAAAATCTCAAAAACCAACCAACCAACCAACCAAGTAACAAAAAAATCCTAAGCATTTTTATGTTATGTTGAATAAAGAGAAGTGAAAAATAACTAAATGATGTAGGAGGCTTTATTTATTTATTTATTTATTTTCCTTTTGTAACAAATGTATTGGTTGTGTCAAGGATCAGTACAGACATTTCAACTTGTACCCAATTCTTGCCATAGGGTGGGCGCCACCACACTCAACTTGTACCCAATTCTTTTTTTTTTTTT